ATATGATGGTAGAATTATGTTAGGAGGGTGAGATTGGAGGTGAGGTAAGAAAGAGCTAAATTCTCAGAGGTCATTGGATAAGGCCTACAATTGAAATGTCAGGATATAGCAGTTTGGGCATGGTATTAAAATACGGAGATCAATAGCGAAACAAGTGGCTGATACAGTGGAAGTGGGTGCTTCAGCATAATAGAAAATTGGGTGAAAAGGAAGATGGCCTAGGAGAATAAGAAAATTTTTTAAAGATTTTATTTATTTATTTTTAGAGAGGGAAGGGAGGGAGGGAGGGAGGGAGGGAGAGAGAGAGAGAGAGAGAGAGAGAGAGAGAGAGAGAGAGAGAGAGAGAGAGAGAGAGAGAAAGAAACATCAATGTGCGGTTGCTGGGGGCCATGGCCTGCAACCCAGGCATGTGCCCTGTCTGGGAATCGAACCTGCGACACTTTAGAATAAGAAATTTTTAAATGTCTTGGACAGTTGGCTCTTTAAACTTTGTGTGTATTATCTATACAAAAACAAATACTAAATTTTAAAAAGGAAGACAAACTTTTGCCATTCTTCCCTCCAAATTCCATATAACGATTTCCATTTAAGGGCCGGAGAATACTATCTCACTGTTCTTTGGATGAGACCTAAAACTCTTGAAATGGTGTAATGTTAACTGTAAACCACTCAAGTACAGAAATAAACCTCGTATCTGAATCGGCATTTTGGAGAGGTCTCCCTCCTTCCTCCCCAAAACAGCAGGGCCAACTAATCTCCGTGTAGAGTCACGCGAGGCTTCCTCTGCACCGAGGCTCAGTCATGACAGTGACGTGACTGCTACACTCTCCCTCCCTTCCTCCCGCCTCACGCTCAGATGTCTGCTCAGGTGGTAGTTTGACTCACGCGTCTGCCCTCCCAGGTAGGTTGTATTTAAGGGCGTAATGCTTCATATGGGAGATACCAGTAAAAAAATGTATACATGAAAAAGACAACTTCCTTCATATAAAATTAGAGAAGGGCCCTGGTGGGCGGCTCATTTGGTTTGAGCGTCAGTCCATACACCAGAAGGGTGTGGGTTCGATTCTCAGTCAGGGCACATACCTAGGTTTTGGGTTCAGGCCCTGGACTGAGTGCATACAGGAGGCCGCTGATCAGTGTTTCTCTCTCACATCAGTGTTTCTCTCTTTCTCCTTCCCTCCCCTTCTTTCTCCCTCCCCCAAACCAATGAAAGCATATCCTCAGGTGAGGAATAATTAATAATAATAATGATAAAACTAGAGAAGGGGCATTGAGAACAGAATCATCCATTTTTAGGAATCATAACATTTATGATGACAATGATAACCCAATAAGGCCCTCCTGGGGACCCTGGATCTTCCAGACTCTCAGAACCAGAGTGGGAGGGGAGCAGCCCTGGGCCGTGAATGACGTGGTAGCCTTGCTGTAGCTGTGGCCAGGACTGTGGTCTCAGACCTGCGCCTGGTTCTCAGGTCATTAAAAAGAGAGCTATTCTTTCTGTATTGATTTGGTGTAACTATTTTTTATGCTCAAGATTAAATTAGCTTCCTGGCAGCCATCCTGCAAAAAGCACCTGTACTCCTCATGTGTGACCTCTGGCTGGTTGTGGGCCAGAGAACAGAGCTGAAGTAGGACTGCCATTCGGGCTGATTGGGTTGGGGTCAGAGTGCCTGGGCACAGGCAGCGACCTGGGCCGTGGGAGGCTGGTGCTGAGCCCACGCGGGAACATGACTGGGGCGGGGGAATAGGTGCTTCGTCCCTGTAGTGTGTGATGCTGTTTATGAGCTCAGAAGAGCTGATGTCTGCATTATTCAGGCTTCAACTGTTGCTTTTCATCTGCCTCCTTTTGTTCAGATCGACACCACTCCCTGGTAGCTCTTCGGAGCTGGTGGCACTTTGTGATCCTCATTTACAGTTCTCTTCAGGTAGATTTGTGTCCTCGGTTTTTCAGGCAGCCAGACCCAGCCACTGCTGAGCAGACCGAACTAAAGACAGCCCTCCCTTGCCTCTAGATCCAGGGCTTCCTCTCAGTCTCTCTTTTTTCCCTCCCTTCATCTGTGAGTTAGGCCTAAGATTATTTGAAAATAATGACATGGTGTGTTTCTAGCATGGGGTAGTATTCACCAATACAAAGGAATGAACTATTGACATATGTATGCAACAAGGTAGATGGATCACAAGGATAAGTGGGAAAAGCCAGTCTCAAAACATCACGTACAATATGATTCCATTTATATAACACTCTTGAAGCGACATAATTATAAAAAAGAAGAGATTAGTGGTTTCCAGGGGAAGTGGGAATAGCACAAGGGAGGTCTCTGTGATAACAGGACAGTTCTGTGTTCTGAATGTGGGGCTGGTTGTATGAATCTGCATATGTGATAAAATGACACAGAATCATATGCATACTTTAGAACAATGAAAATCCTTTGGTTTTGATATTGGTGCTGTTGTTGTTATGTGACATGTAACCAATGGGGAACCTAGGTGAGGGATTTATAGAATCTCCCTGTATTATCTTTACAACTTTCTGTGAATTTATAGTTATTTCAACATCAATTTTTCTTTCTTAAAAAGAGAAAGGAGCTATTGTTGCAACAACATGGATGAACCTCAAATAATTATGCTGAATGAAGGAAACTAGTCAATAAAGTACAAAAATATAAAGATGAATTGGACTACCTTAAAACTAAAACCTTTCATGGTGCAAAAAACAATACCATAAAGAAAGTGAAAAAACAACCCACAGGATGTGAGAAAGTATTTGCAAATCATATATCTGATAAAGAATTTATATATGTAAATAAAATTCTTTATACATACATATAGAGAACACTTATAGCTCAATAATAAAAAGACGAACAACCTAACTGAAAAAATAGGCAAAAGATTTGAGCGGACCTTTCTCCAAAGAGATATGAATGGTCAACAGGCACATGAAAAGATACTTCATTTACCTCATTAGCCATCAGGGCAATGGAAATCAAAACCACAGTGAGCTAGCAGATCACACTCATTACGATGGTAATAGTAACGAAAACAACAGATAATGAATGACAAGTGTTGGGAGGATGTTGGAGACACTGGGACCCCTTATACACCATTGGAAGAGTGTAAAATGCTGCGGTTCTTCAAAACATTAAACATAAAGTCGCCACGTGACCTAACAAACCCACAGCTAGGTGTATGCCCATGAGAAATGAAAGCATGTTAATACAAAACTTTATACAGGAGTGTTTATAGGAGCACCATTCATAATAGCCAAGAAGTGGAAATGACCCCGATGCCCATGAACTGATGAATGGATAAATGAAAAGGGGTTATATCCGTACAATGAAATATTATTCAACAGTAAAAGGATACACCTTGAAAACCTTGTGACGAATGAAAGAAGCTAGCCACAGAAGGCCACATATTGTGTAATTTAATTTATATGAAATGTCCAGAATAAACAATCTATAGAGGCCACAGGTGGTTGGCTAAGGGACAGGAGGGGGGCGGACAAGGAATGACTGCAAATGGGTCAGTGTTTGGGGGATGGAAACAATCTACACTTAGATGCAGTAATGATTGTACAGCTCTGTCAATGCACTAAGAGCCATTGAATTGTATGCTTTTGTAGATGTATTTATGGTATATGGATCCTATCTTAATAAAGGTATGTGTAAAAAGTATATGATATATGATTCAATTCATATGAGTATTGAAAATGCAAGCTAACCTGTGGTGACAGAAAACACCAATGGTTGCTCAGCAGGGGGAAGGTGGAGAGTAGGGAGAAGCAGGAGGGGGTGGAGAGACTACAAAGGGACACGACAAAACCTTGGGGGGTGATGGACATGTTCACCATCTTGATTATGGTAATGGTTTTGTGGGTGTATACATATGCCAAAGGTTGTCAAATTGTACCCTTTAAACATGTGCAGTTTATTGTACTATATGGCTTGTTTTTTTAAAAAGCCAGAGCACAAATGTGTGTGAAACTCATGAACCTGACAAATATTTATTGGGTGCTGGTATAGTGTTAGCTCGAGGGGATACAGTGGCAAGGAAAAGATGAGCCCAGTCTTCAAGCAACTCATACTTTGTCAAGAAAGAAACACATGCTATATGAGCTCTGTAGACATGGCTAGGAGTCACGGTCACCCTTGTGGAGAGGTTTCCCGGATGTGCGGGCACTGGAGTTCAGCATTCCAGCGCAATGGGAGGTAGAGGTGGAAGGTGGGGTTTTGTGATGACATTATGGCCGTCCTTCATGACACTAATGTAAAAGCACCAGGAGCACAGAGTGTGTCCTTGCTACATCTCAGAGGGAATCTGATTTTATTCTCACCACATTAAAGCCACGCTTTCCCCCCAGGACTCACATGACAGTGAAATGGATTGCTGTATTAACATCCTGAACAATAAGTGCAAAGCAAAGATAGAACTTCCTTCATCGCCCTCGGCAGACTGGCTATGATTTATTTATTTGTGATGACACATTGCAGGTCTGTCCTGCTACGCTGTTTGCTGTGTGAGGGCCAGGACTCAGTGTCTCATTCACCGTCCTGGCCCCGGCAGGCAGTATAGTGCTGGGCACATGCTGGGATTTGATAAAGATTACTTGCTGGTAGGTTCGGATTTAGGTTGATGTGGAGCCCATAGGAACACGTCTGACTGGTGGCTCAGCCATGGCTCACACTTTCTGTGGCTTGACCAGTGAAGCAGTCCAACTGCACCCACCCCCAGCCCCCATTGCGCTCTGTGTCCTAGCTCTGGGCCCAGTCATGTCAGCTCTCATCCACCTTGGGCTTGTCCTGTTGGTCTAGTGTTGGGAGACTCTTGTTTGCGGTCCACTCCCAGAGGCTTCTGGGGTGAGATTCTCATGGGAAGGTCAGGACAGTCTGTCCTGGAGAGGGCAGCTCTGGCCACTGGCCTGCTTTGGGCAAGGTGGGCGTTCTTGGGCCCTGGCTCAGGGACTGCTCATATGTGGTTTCTTCTCCTCTTCCTGTCTCTAGCACTTCTTTATGCCACCATCTTTGGGAATGTGACAACCATCTTCCAACAGATGTACGCCAACACCAACAGGTACCATGAGATGCTCAACAGCGTTCGAGACTTCCTGAAGCTCTACCAGGTGCCAAAGGGATTGAGTGAGCGAGTCATGGATTATATCGTGTCCACCTGGTCCATGTCCAGAGGCATTGACACTGAGAAGGTAAGGAGGGCGATGAGCTCAGATAAACAAACCACTTACTGCCAGCTTTCCTGGGGACACCTAGGCACTCTCCCAGGGCACTTGTTTTCACACCTGGCTGTGCCTCAGAATTCACCTGGGTAGTTTTGTGTGTCCAGGTCCTACCTCCAGAGATTTTCATGGCTTCCAGATCAGCCTTGCTCAAAGACTAGCAATTAGGAGCCATTATTGAGAAAATTGGAAAGACAGGGTATGCCTCCTGGAGAAAAGAGGAACTGGAAGTCTAACTGTCCAGGGTGGAATTTCCCAAACATACGTGATAAGAATCAGGGCCACCCTGGGTGAGGTCACCAGTATTACTGATATTCCTTCCGCCTCGGGCAAGGGTGGCACAAGATGGCTGAGCACTGCTACTGATCCCGTGTTTATTCAGACTTTCGATATTTTGTTCATCATGGACTTTTTGCATGAATTTTTATTTTTTAAAATATTACATTAAATAAACTGTGATCTATCTCGATTACTGACTTTTTAACATCTCCTTCAGTTCTGTGCCCAAGGCAGTTTTGTGGCCTCACTTTAGTCTTGGCCCTGATAAGAATCTCACGAGGTGATCAGTCAAAGAAGATTCCCAGCCTCCAACCCAGACCCATGGAATGAGAATTGGGGGGGAGGGTGTGGAGAGCCTGGAAGCCTGCATTTTCACAAGTGGTCCTATTCATCAGAGAGGTGCGGGCAATGCTGGGCAAGGGCGTGTGCCTTCATCATCAGCTGGCTTGGGCAGAGCCGCAGGTGGCCACCTCCCTAGGCATCAGTTTTCCCACCTGGAAGATGGAAGTGGCCACAAATCCCTGTTGTTTTCCATGAGTCAAGTTTATTATTCTAGGTGCATTTCAGTGAAGTGAAGAAAATTTGGTGGTATTGGACAGAATGAAGATAAGTGGACTTTCTATTATGCACTTGAGAATTATCTCCTTTTTATGTTTTCTGTAAGCCAAAATGTAACCTTAGGTCAGTTTTCCTCTGCTTTTCAGTCTTTTCAACTACACTTCTCCTTTTATTGTCAATTTGTAAGTACTTAGGGAATACCGATTCCTTTCATTGTTCGAATGAGGAAAATAAAGATAACACTATTGCAAAAATGCCTTATGACACATTCAAAGCCAAATTCAGTTGGCTTTGGACAGCTCTTCATGCTCCTAGTCTTCCTCCATTAGAATAGTCAGTTGAGAATTGACAGTTCAAAAGGAAAAATTGGACTAAACTTAACTGATCCAAATTTAAAAGGAATGATACTTTGGTTTGGTTAAGCACCTTCCATTATAACAACAGTAACATCACACTGACACCACCCCACCAGCTACGGTAACTTGAACGTGCGTTAAGCACAAAAATTTACTGCCTTCTCCACGCGCCTGGTCCTGCATTCCCGCTTTACCCAGGCTCCACTACAACCCTGCTGCTATTTCTGTTGAAAGGGATAAGGACACAGAGGCCCAGTTAATTTTATTAACTGCCCCGGGTCACAGAGTTAAGATCACAAAGCTATCCTGGCTGAGTAACTCAGTTAGAGCATCGTCCAAATATGCCAAGTTTACGGGTTCGATCCCCAATAAGGGCACATAAAGGAATTAACCAATGAATGCATAAGTAGAACAACAAATGGATGTTACTCTCTTTCTCTCTCTCAAATAAATAAATATACAAATAAAGAAATAAAAACTTCTCTAAAAAAGAAAACTTGAATAAATAGAAAAACATACCTTTCTTTAAACAAAAAGAAAAATGGCAAAGCCAGGATTTGAACCCAGTTTTTCTAATTTCAAAGCTTATGCTTTTCCTACTGTCACTTGTTGAAAATTGAAAACATGTCCTGGAGGGAAGAAGGAGGAGTTCAGACAGAGCTGCCCCTGTCTCTCAGACAAGCCGGGCATCGGTGGGGCAGGGCAGTGCCTGTTGTTTCTGCTCTGCTCTCTCAGCAAGGCCGTGGGCTCTGTGGGTGCCCGGGAGCCGATGGAGCAGAAAGGAACTTTGATCTCTCAGCCCTGGGGCTCCTGTTCCCAGGGGCCAGGATGCCTTTGGAAAGAAGGCCCTTCCCCGCCCTCACTGCAGGGCTGAGCTGGGTGGCTGCCCGAGGGAGACAGCACTGTCAGCATTGACCCTTTCTTCCCCTCCTGTTGCCTCATGACCCTGGAGGGCTTTGGGACCTGCCCCAGCTTCTGATCGGATGGAAGACGGGGCACTGTGGCCTCTCACCACAGAGCCTGGCCTGGAGTGGCTGCTCTTCCTGGCTGGCAGCTGCTATGGAGAGGACCAGTCCCGTGGACCCATGCCCCTCCATGGTCCCTTCTCCCTTCTGAGTCCGAATGGTCAGTGGTGACCAGGGGAGCGGGGGGTAGGCTGTGTGGTGGTGGGGTGACAGTGCTGGGCTCATTCCGTTTACCATTTATTGGCTGGTGACCTTGAGCATGTCACTTGTCCTTCTGTGTCTGTGACACTTGGAAACTAGATGACTTTTATACTAAGGCCTCTGGACCTCAGAGCCTCTGTCAGGCCCAGCCACTGCTCTCCTGGGTGGAGAACATCAGAAATGAGAGCCACGCGCACTGAGCACTGGGTGTGCCAGCTCAGGGGACCCTCTGAAGAGTTCTGTGCTCCACTTCCAAAGTGAAGACTTGGGGGAAAGCTAAGCATTGCTTCAAGCTCCCAGGACTACTAAGTGTTAAAGCCAGGAATTGGATCCAGATCCGCCTGCCCCTAAAGCCTGCTCCCTCAGCCCTGCTGCTGTCCTGCCCACTCTGAGGAGGCTCCTGGAGCTTCTATGATGACATCTCCCTGTGGCCTTCGAGGCCTCAAGGACTGGTGGGGATAGTCTGTTCTCAATACCAAGTAGAAGGAAACATGGCCCATTTCAGGGCCTTGAGCAGACACCTTCCCTCGGAGACAGGAATTCGGGGTCCACCAGCCCACACGCTATGGAGCCCACAGAAGGAGGCTGGAGAGGCCTGATGGCCATGACAGTCTGTGATTTCCACTCCACAGTCCCCCTCCTCCTCACACGTGCTTCCCAGTGGCTCCGGGAACAGAGCCCATGAACAAAATACTGTCGCCATGCCAGGGTGTCGTTCACTAGCAGCCTCTGCCAGCCAAGTCCAGCCAGGGGGAAACCAACTATTTAAGGGTGAACTTGAAAGCATGCATCTTGGTTTCGAACCACTGGGCACAGTTTTGACATGACATGTGAGCATTGCACACTCCCTTGTGTTCTGTTTGGAGAGAAGAGGATCCAAATTAAATCCGCATTTCTACAGAAGTCTTGTTTTTAATGAGCTTTAAAGAGGAAAGTATTAGCAAACACTCCGCCCAAGCACTGCTTGTCTGAATCTTCCTCCGTCTCTGCCAGCCTTCCGTCCCCTCTGCTGGAGAACATGCTGGCTGCCTCAGCATCCTGCAGCCCCAGAGCAAGACCACAGAGGGGGGCACTGGCATTTACCGAGTCTCCTGCTGGGGCCAGGCACTGTCCCACGGAAGTGTGCTGGGAGATGCAATTTTATTTAATCCTCATCAGCCAATGTGAGCAGCGTGCATTTTACTTGAGACGCCAAAGGGTAGCGCAGTTAAGTCACTTGAAGAGGCAGGAGGGGGATTTCAACAGTTTGCCCTCTTTCCCCTGCCATGCCTCCACGCGGAGCGCAGGGCACCTGAGCGGGGTGGGATGTGAGCGAAGCTGCCAAGGGCACGCTGAGATTGAGCTGGGTTTTGAAGGAAACTGCAGGATTTCCAAAGTCCATGGTGAGCTCCAAGCACAGAGGCCAATGGCCTGGGCTAAGGCAGAGAAGCAGGGACGGGGAGGAACCCAGCACACCGAGGAAATGTCCTCACTGGACACGGCTGATTCTGTGCCCTCAGCTTTGTTCCCAGGCTAGGATGGATGGGAGAAGGGTTAATTTAGGAACACTCTTAATTTCTCTGAAAAAGTCCACTTGGGGCCTTACTGTGTTACTTAGTATGTAAGGGCCTATGCCATGGTTTTGTGACAAAATTTTGTCCAGGGAAATATTCCTCCCACGAGAGAAGGCTGAGTAATTTTTTTGTCTTTAAAGCGTGAGACCTGCATGGCCTCCTACAGTTCCCATTTGCTTTGATTTCCTAAATGCTGAAAATTAAATCCCAAGCCCAGTTTTGGGGGGGGCAGCCACATGATATAAGAAGTGGTTAGTATGTAAACTAGGCTCTGGAGTCCAGTTACCTGGTTGAAGGTCCCAGCTCTGCCATTTCCTGGCTCTGCCACTTTAGGCAAGCTCGTATCTTCCTTGTGTCTCGGTTTCCTCATCTGCAAAACGGTACAATAGTAGCCCTTGCATCCTAGGGTTTATGTGAGGATTAGATCAGCTAATGCTTGACAGTGTAAAATCACAACCCTCCCTGACTTTCCTTTTCTTTCTTTACTATTCTTTTTAGCACTTACTGCTAAATGATTTTGCATATTATTTGGCTCCTCCCACCAGATGTTAAGTTACATGAAGGCAGGGATTTTGTCTATTTTGTTCACTGCTACATCCTCAGAACCTAGAATGGTTCCTGGCATAAAATAGATGCTGTAAAATAAGTATGAAATGAATGAGCCACTTTAAACTACTTAGCAATACACGGCACACAGTAAGTGCTTAGTAAATATTATTTCTATCTCTCTTTCAATCACACCCGTATTCCGTCCCTCTGCAGATTGTCAGTTCCACCTCCAAAATGTGGTCTGAATATGATCACTTCTCACTGGCTCCACTGCCAGCACTCCAGTCCAAGTCCCCTAGGCTCTTAGGCCACACCTGCGGGAGTGACCTACACTTGACGTCAGAGGCTCACAGGGAGGCCAAGGGAGGCCTCAGCCCAGTGACAGTATCCAGGTTCTTGTCTCCACGTGAGAGAGGAGTTGAGAACTAGACAGAAAGATTCACTGAAGCACAGAGGTTTTATTAAAGTGAGAATACACACTCAGATAGGGAGTGCATCACCCCAGGGGGTCTTGGGGGCTGGGCTTATATTTGGGTTAGTGGGGAGGAACTCCTAAATGTGTGGGTCTGGGCTGAGTGGAAGCAGAGGGGGTGAGGCACCACCTTCCCAAAGGGAGGGGGAGTTTCTATCCTTACTTGGTCTTTACTGAAACTGCCTTGTGTTGGCGCTTGATGGCTACAGGTCTATCTGCAATGCTAATGATATTATAATGAAATTCTAATTGACTGTAGGTCACCTTTTGGGGTCAGAGTGCATGGCCCAGCTGGATAGAACTGGCCCTTATTTGTCTCTGCAGTTTTCCTTGCAAGCTTGCTTCCTCCTGCAAGCTGTTTCCATACAGAGGAGGTGGAGGAGGGGCCCAGCACCTCAATCTGGCTCTCCTGCTGCCACTTGACTCCTTGGCTCCATTCTCGCTCTCCAAAAGTCAGGACCCTCTGACTCCATTCTGTAGCTGCAATGATCCCCTAAAATATAATTCAGGTCCTGTCACCTCCCTGCTGGAAATCCTCCAGTGTGTCCTCATCACACTCAGAATAAATCAAAAAGCTTTGCATCCTTGAATGTCTCCACACCCTTCTCCTACTTGGCGTTCTCCCCAAAACCTCATCCACCCCTTTCCCCTCATTCACATTGGCCATTGCTGCCAGTCTCCTCATAGCCTTTGTTATTCTTCTGGAATGTTCATTCTTCACTGGTCTCCCTCTGACACATTATGAAGGTGTCAAATGTCACCTCCTCAGAGAGGCCTCCCCCAGCCACTTAAAGAGTCCCACGTTCTTCCAGCCCCCCTGCTCTCAGGACCTGCTTCTGAGCAATTAACACGGGTTTTTGTGGTCACTGCCTCCCACAGACAGTAAGCACCATGAGGCCAGGGACCGGCTGTCCTGTCCATCAGGGCTGCGAGTGCTGTCTAGCCTCAGGGGGTGGGGGGAGGACTTGCTTCCACCCCCAGGAGTAGAACAGCGGTGATCTGGAGGCCTCAGAAAGGAGCGCCCTGACACTCTTCCTTCCCATGCTCGGCCAGGTCCTGCAGATCTGCCCCAAGGACATGAGAGCTGACATCTGCGTGCACCTGAACCGCAAGGTGTTCAAGGAACACCCGGCTTTCCGGCTGGCCAGCGACGGCTGCCTGCGGGCGCTGGCCATGGAGTTCCAGACGGTGCACTGTGCCCCGGGGGACCTCATCTACCACGCGGGAGAGAGTGTGGACAACCTCTGCTTTGTGGTCTCCGGCTCCCTGGAGGTGATCCAGGACGACGAGGTGGTGGCCATCCTAGGTAGGTGTTGCCTCTGCTGGAGGGAAACCTTCTGGTGCCCGAGATCTTGGCTTAGCTACCGGGCAGCCCAAGGCCTCTGCTGCCTTCAACCAGAGATTGCACCAGGGGGAAGAACAATGGTTAGCATCTGTGCCTCTATCCAACAGACAAATAGTGGAGTGCCTGTTTAGTGGCACTTGGGGTATTTCAATGACAGAAATGGGTTTTGTCCTCAAGAGCCACCTAGTCAACTGGGGAGATAAACAAATAAGCAGACATTTGCATACCAATGGAAGAGGCATCTAACCCTGTATTCAAGTGTCAGGAGGTCTTCCTGGAAGAAAATGACACCTAAACTGAAAAACAAATACTGAGAATGTGTTAGCATGGAGAAGAGACAGGACAAAGGAGAGTTCTAGGCAGAGGGAGCAGCACGTGTGAAGTCCCTGCGGGGAGAGAGCATGGTTTATGTGCAGCGATGCACGTGCATCGGTGCGGCTGGAACGCACACACCGAAGGGGCGTGTGAGAGACGGGGCTGGGGAGGCCACCGGGGCGAGGCTGGTCATGCAGGCTCTGGGATCCACGTTAAAGGACTTGGGTTTTACTTTGGAGGAGCCAGAATGAAGGTTTAAAGCAGGGGAGGGGCACGATCAGATTTTCACTTTAGCCAGGTGATGGTAGTTGCAACATGGAGGGTGGATTGAAGGGAGAAGGCTGGGATGGCAGGTGAGGTCGGAGACATGTCACCTAGGGGCAAGTTGATGGTGAGCCGATGAAGAGAAGCAAATGGAGCTGTCATACGGAAAGTGGAATCAACAGAGCCTGATGAAGGGTTTACTGTGGAGGGAGAGGAGAGAGTCCAGGAGGGTTGTGGGGTTTCTCACTTGGGGAACGGGGCAGCTGGTCCACCAGACACTGTGATAAAGAACCGGGGAGGCGGGGAGGGACATGGGGCACACGTTGGTGTTTTCCATGTTGCGCATCAGTGGACTTTGAGGGATTCATCCAAGTGCCTGAAGTAGCTTCGGGGCAGCTCCTGATTGGGGGCATTTTACTCTGAGTGGGCAGGCCATCATAATGAGATCCATCATTCATGGTCATCTATTCTGCACCAGGCATTTTACATACAGACTCTCAGTGAACCCTTAGAGTGGCCCTGTGAAGTGATTGTATTATCTCCGGTTTGTGTATGAGACAGTGAAAACTCAGACAGGTTACGAGATTCTCCCAAGACCTCACAGCTGGCGAGGTCCATGGAGCCAGCATCCTGGAGTCCCTCAGACTCCAAAACCTCTGCTCTGTCTTATTTTGTAATACTGCAGTCCTAATGATAATTTATGTGGTTTGCTAGCCCATCAAGCTGCCAGGTGCTGCTAGACATTGTAGACATACACAAGGAGGAACCCAAAATTTATTTATAAAAAATTGTGTATTTATTCTTTTTTAAAATGTGCTCAGTTGACCAAATGAAGGCTTTAAAAATTTTTTTTTAATCTTATTTATTTATTTTTAGAGAGGGAAGGGAGGGAGAGAGAGAGAGAGAAATATCAATGTGCAGTTGCTGGGGGTCATGGCCTGCAACCCAGGCATGTCTTCTGACTGGGAATCGAACCTGCGACACTTTGGTTCACAGCCCGTGCTGAATCCACTGAGCTACGCCAGCCAGGGCTGTATTTATTCTTATATGTTTAAGCTTCAGCCACCTTCAAAGTACTCTCCCTTAAATGTAATGCAACTATCGAGATGCTTTTTCCACTGCTCAAAACAGGTTTTGAACTCGTTGATTTGATGCCTTCTAGTGCTTCTGCCATTTTTTGTTTCACCTCTTCCACATCGGCAAAACTTTTGAGGTCTTTTTTTTATCCAGGGAAACAAACAAACAAAAAATCCTTGGGGTAGAGACTGGGCGAGTAGAGAGGGTGGGGCAGGGGGTCATGCCATTTTTGGTTAAAAACTGCTGAGCATTCAGCACAGCGTGAACAGGTGCGCTTGTAAATCACCCATCATGAAATGGGCCAATGCGTCGAAAATGTCTTCCCAAAAATTTCACTGAAGCCAAGTGCAGCTTCTCACAGCAGCCTTAGCTGGTGCACTGATACAGATGACTTCCTAAAACACTCACCTAGCAGAGGGAGCATGTACTACAAGAGGCCCACTCTCCAGAAGATAATTCCAGGGGTTTTTTTTTTATTCCCCATATTTTAGAAATCTGAGCCAGAGTGATTACTGAATTTTAGGACTATATGATGAACTGAACCAAAAGATGCGCCTAGGTTTTAGGGGAGGAAAACAGGAAAAAAATTTTGAAGCAACAAATGTGGTAAAATCTTTAATAACTTGTGACCCCATTCCCCCACCACAGTGAACCAGGTAAGTTACATTCGGACTATAAGACGCACCCCCTTTCCTCCCAAATTGGGGGGGGATTGTGTCTTATAGTCCAAAATACTGTAAGTTACACCAAAGTTAGAATTGAAATTCAAACTAAGCATCTTGACACAGTATTTTTTTTTAAATTCCAAACTTTGTTCCTGTTTAACTTTCGAGACTATAATATGCAGCCTCCTCTTGCTCCCTCGGCCCCAAGCGACCTTGCCCTCTTGGTTACATTCTGCTCAGGGTAATAATCCAGGATGATTTCCATTACTCCAGCATTTGCTGGAGACTGGGATAGAAACTTGGTGGGGGAGAGAGGCTGAAATTGTTTGCTAAAATGTGTTCTGGATTCCTGGTATCCACTGCATTCTACAGACAGGGTTATCCTGTTCCTTGCCTTCTGCATCCACGGTGATGTGAGGCTTGACTGTGTACGAAAGGGACACCCATTACTGTATTGTAGCTGCAGGGAAGTGACGTTCATGCCTGCCTTTCATCAGTGTCCTTGATAAAGAGGACTTTCCGTTAGTAATAGCAGTCTGGTGTTTGCCTGGCTGAGAAGAGTAGTAATTAGTGACTAGTAGGCTCTCCTTTGAATTGAATTTGAATTGATCGTGTGGGGTAGGGCGTCTCACCCATCCCTCTCCCCTCCCCCCATCCCCGATAATTCACCATATGCTTTTCCAAGGAACGCTGTTCACCTTCTGTACTCATGCTTAGGGCGCCCGTGTTGATGCACCCTAAACAGCGGCACTGTCAGGAGTTGAGCATGGACACCCGGCCATGGAAGTATGACAGAGCCACGGAGGAGCGAGGAAGGCAAATGACTATGTCCAAGCCACGTCCCATTTGCCCTCAGCCTGGGCTTCTTATGGGCTTGATTTGTTGTTGATTTACCTGGTGAACTGACTGCTTCTCCAAATCCAGCCCTCTGCCTCGGGCCTTCCTGAGCACGCTGCCTGCTCCAGTTAGCAATGCCCTCAAGCTGTTCAGACTAGAAAAAAGCATCTTCCATGGGTCCCTAGTGGCTGGGACATTTTAAGAGGCTCTTATTGTATAAAAGGATGATACAAGTTCTTTGAGTCAACCTGACCTCTGGTCCAGGACACATTAAAAGATTCCAAGCTTGTTGTTTTCTGGAAACTTACATGCAGGGCTGTTTTTCTCTGATTAGAATACCTTTTGCTCAATGAATTGAAATCAGTTTGTTCTTGCAATGGGGGTTCAAGCATTGGATGCATATGAGAACTAGATCTTTATTGCCCTTTGATGCCCTTCAGTTCAACCCAGCCAACACTGACTGAACACTTGCCAGGCGCTGTCAGAGGGGTGGGGATGCAGCTGTGGACCCAACAGTAGCTCAGCCTTCGAGGAGCTTCAGTGGAGGAGACCGACATCACTAAAAAAGCAACAATCACACTGCTCCGTAAGTGTTATCACAGAATGCAGGTGCTTCTAGAGGGTCACTGGACCAGTAATTATTGAGCAGCTGCTGTGTATCCGGTGCTCAGTGATGAAAGGGAATGGCTAGGTTATCTTTAGTTATCATAGAACAGGAGTCTTTAGAGAAAAACCTCATTTATCTCATCTGTTTGGTCTCTAGGCCCTTGTTATCAGTTCACTCGTTTACTTTCTGCTGATTTGTTTCCTGCTTTCATTTCTAATGCTCCACCCCATTCTGTTTAATTTTAGCACAGACTGCAAGAGTGAGGGAAAACGTCACTGTTCATAGCTGAGTGTGTGTAGTATATGTTTTAAAAGAACCCTTTGTAATGCAAGAGTTCTGAAGGAGCGTTTTTCAAACTTTCTTGACTGCAACTCACCCTATGAAATGTTTATTACATCAGGAGCTAATCAACATATGTGCACACAATTATACATAAAACTCAGTACTTACTTTTGCTACGTAAAATGCAACTGGCATTTTCTATCGGATTCTATTGGCTTTCATTGAAAAAGAAATTGTCTCTCATGACCCACTGAATTGCTTTCTTGACCTGCTTCAGCCCACAGTTTAAAAGCACGGTCCCACAAATGTCGACCGTATCTTTCTAGGAGTGAAGGCCCTGCTGTGTCCCGAGGACAGAATATGCTACACGATCTCTCATGAGTTTCTTTTCGGCCGATGTCCTCTGCCTTAATTTTGAAATGACACCTTCCCAATCTCCTTTTGGAATCCTCTTAGAAATCATTTAATGTCTTCTCAAATTTAGTTTCTCAGCTCTGCAAAATACATTTAAGATTGTACCATATGCATTTTTATTATATTTTTAAAAATAATTTTCTTAAAGTTTTTCATAGATACGAGAATAAAAAGATACAGGTACCCATTTTGGTCCCCAACCAAGCAGTGCCATTAGCATTTGCAAGGAACTCTCAGTTTCTCCCAGTGTGCCTTACATGGCCAGAATGGACGAGTCCATCGGGGCTGTGCTTCAGTGTGGTCCATCTCCGCGAGCTTCCATCGTATAAAGCTGTATTTAAATGATCTTGTTTCACTGTGACTTAGTGTTTCTGGAGTTACTTTTATGGGTTCTGGATTTTAATACTTAAGTTGTAGTTTAATCATGGATCATCTTGGGTCTTTTGTTTTGTTGTGTTTCATTCTATTGGGCAAGACTGAGGTCTTTTTGGCTGGGCTAC